TCACATTTCTCATTTTTCAATAATTATCATATTTACATCAAAATTCTACTCGTTCCTCAGTTTTTCTGCATGTTCTCTTATAAGATTTCTCTATTTTGCGTTATCTTGATTCTGCCTGGATTCATTTTTCTTCGTCCTGGTTATTCTATGATCCAAGCTATTTTTTCAATCACAATCACAAAATGTTCTGCATGTTGTGCTTAAATTTTTTTAATTTACGATAAATAATGTGGTTGTATTTCATTAGGTAATAATGGAGTGTAATAAAGTAGAGTCCTCGGTATAATGACTATTATTATTGACTCATATGGTAATATCCACCATAGAAAGTTGAACTTCGAATGACAGATGAAGGAATGTTATGGCTACACTGATTGTTTCATTTTTTATGGCCTGCTAGATACTCATTTTTCTTGCTTGGTCCTGGTGTGATCATAAATTTATTGTTTCTCAGGTGTTCAACTTGGGGATGCAAGTCCAGCTTATTTCGTCAAGATTATTCGGACTCGGTATCTTCACCCATAGGTTTTCACGGTGAGTGGCTTTTATGGAAAATATGTTTTTTTTTAAACTGAGATCATCCGTATCCATAGCTACAGAATTTAATATAAGTTGCCCTTTTAAAACGAAACAAAGGCTCTGTAGGTTGCAAAAACCGGATTATGAAGGAAAATCTGAAACAAGTCAACTACATTTTCGAGGGGAACATCGTTCTAAGACATTTTCAGCCCTGCGGCGTTGCCGCTTCTAACGAAAAGAAGCAGCAACTTTGTTATTTCAAATGGAACACCTTGTATTTCATTGCATTTTTAGATTCTCCCCGAAGAGCTGATCCCACTGATGCATTATCACACTTGGAGTCTAGCTGGAATGATTTCTGGGATATAGGGTGTTCAAAATCGAGATTTTTCAACTTTAGCATTTTTTTTGTGTCGAAACTATTCATTATTGGTCCAAACGGCTTTATATCCCTATTTCAACTTTCGATTTACTATCTACTGACATTTAGTTGAAACAGATACAGGGTGATAAGAAATTCTGAATCTTGAACCACCCTGTTTTTGTTTCAAATAAATGTCAGTAGATAGTGAATGAAGTTGAGATAGGGTTATATCAGCCGCTTTGACCAATGATGAATAGTTTCGACACAAAAAGATTCTAAAGTTGAAAAATATCGATTTTGAACACCCATAGCTCTGTAATTATTGCCGCTAGATCCCAAGTGTGATGCATTGATGTAATCAGCTCTTCGGGGAGAATCTGAAAATGCAATGAAATACAAGGTGTTTATTCGAAAAAACAAAGTTGCTGCTTCTTTTCGTTAGAAGCGGCAACGCCGCAGGGCTGAAAATATTTTAGAACGATGTCGCCCTCGAAGCTGACGTGTTTCAGAGTTTTCGCATTTGGCCAAATTTCAGACAAATTTCATGTTCCTTTACAAAGCAGTGGCGGCTCCTCAGAGGAGGCAACGGAGGCCGATCCTCCTCAGAGATTTTCCTTAAACCAATATTATTTATACTTTCTCATTGAAAGGACGCTAAAATACATGGATTTTGATTTTGTTTCCTGCTTTTAGTTGAATATTATTGAATTGGCAACAGTTCTTGCCCACGCATCACACGTTGAAGTCTGCAAATCAAGCGTAAAATATTCAACTTGGCAACATCTATAGGAGGCTAGACTCCTTCACATTGCGCAACCTACGCGCGCAATGCGAATGCCCGAATAGCACGTGTTTGTCGTGCCGCTTCGCGAATTGCGGACAAACGCGAGTGCATTGTTTATGTTTATGTTAGGTTAATGGTTAGGGGCTCTATGAATTTCTGAAAAATGAGTGTTTTAAACGATTGCGATTTAGTGGAATACTTTTTGGTGAAACCATTCAGTGCTTTGTCTTATGAAGATTAATTGATTGTGAAAAACAAACGTCCGACACCGGAATTAAAAAATCTGATTGTAACAGGTAACGAACAAAATCGTTCGTTCAATTCTGATAATTATCAAAAATATATCTGGTTGACGGGATCTGAGGTAAAAGGAATAAGCTATTTTGTTGGTACTGCGTATTATTTTCAACCGATAAGTCATCATGTTGGGGGCGATTAGGAATGATTTGAAAAATTTGCCTCGCGGATTGGATAGACACTGCAAATCACAGTAATGTCATTGAAGCTATCGATTTGGGTGAGTAGAGAGTTATTTTTCACAATAAATCTCATACCATCCACCCTCCTCTGTCATGAAAGTCACGAGCCGCCACTGTTACAAAGGCAGATCCTATCTCTGCTATCCTCCCTGTTGGGATTTCTCTCTTTTTCTTTCTGGGGGCGACCCTCCCACCCCTTCTTCCTTCCTCCTATTGAACTTTGACTGTTGCTTTCGCTGAACCGAGTCAAATGTGATTTTCATTCCTCACTTGGTTTCCCATCCCACTCGAAAAACGAACATGAAATATACAGGGTTTTCCATGAATGATATAGTTATCGACAATTATCGATATATCGACAATTATCGATATATCGATAACATCGTAGGTAGTGATAGGGGTGGGAAAAATTATCGATATATCGATAATTATCGATAATTATCGATAATTATCGATAATAATTTGGAGAAAAATTATCGATTTATCGATATTATCGATATTATCGATATTATCGATATTATCGATATTATCGATATTATCGATATTATCGATATTATCGATATTTTCGATATTATCGATATTATCGATATTATCGATATTATCGATATTATCGATATTATCGATATTATCGATATTATCGATATTATCGATATTATCGATATTATCGATATTATCGATATTATCGATATTATCGATATTATCGATATTATCGATATTATCGATATTATCGATATTATCGATATTTTCGATATTTTCGATATTTTCGATATTTTCGATATTATCGATATTATCGAAATAATCAATAATGTCGATGATATCAAAATTATCGGAATAACCGATATAACCAATGATATAAAAATTATCAAAATGAATGAGCATCAGAAAAATAGGTATTTTTGTTCCTTATATGGAACACCCTGAATAAAACAGATACTTGTTGGTAAGAATTGAAGTAAGAATGAAGAATATAATAAGACACGCCACCCTGTACATCAGCCCTGTTCAAACAACATAGGACTCCAGCACAGCAACTTGCATGAAGCTATCTGACATCTGGCAACGTGGCAACCCTTATTAGTTATGGTGGCAAACTTATTGGTTAGTTATGTGTTGAACGAGTAACAAGTATCAAGTAAGGTGGGTTATCTAATTATATGGAATATTTTTATTTCATCATTCGATTGCTCATTCCTTGAAAAATAACATAATGACAAAATGGCTTTGTTTATTATACCTACGTAGAAACCAGAAAGTAAATATAAAAAATTAGTTTTATAAAAATACCCTTGTCACGACTAGAAGTGGGAAAAATTATCGATATATCGATAATTATCGATAATAATTTGTAGAAAAATTATCGATAATATCGATAATATCGATAATATCGATAATATCGATAATATCGATAATATCGATAATATCGATAATATCGATAATATCGATAATATCGATAATATCGATAATATCGATAATATCGATAATATCGATAATATCGATAATATCGATAATATCGATAATATCGATAATTATCGATAATATCGATAATATCGATAATTATCGATAATATCGATAATATCGATAATTATCGATAATATCGATAATATCGATAAATCGATAATATCGATAGATTATGATTATCGATAATCGATATTTCAAAATCATTATCGCCCACCCCTAGGTAGTGACCGTTGAAATTTTCTGCTTTTAAGAGGAATTGAAGCAACCCCGAGTTTGTTATAGTTCGATATCCATAAATGGAAAGCGACAAAACACCCAATAGACAACTATACGTTGAAAAAACGTTCAAAATTGGTTGTGTAACCAACCGTTGAAAATGGGTTGAAATGTCGGGTAAAATAACTTTTTCAAAGAGTAATTCAACGTTAAAAAATACGTCAATTCTATGAATCTACAGGGTGTTTCAAAAAAACCTAACCCCCTTGCCAGGACAGATAGAACATTGCAAAATAAGTTGAGATTGCTCAGTAAAAAAAATGTCGTAACGCCATCCGTTTTCAAGATACAAGGTGTTGAAACAATATTTTTTTTACACATTTTTTACGATTATGTTGAAACTACTGGCAACATTGTGATGAAATTTTGTATGGATGTTTCTTGGAATCTGACACATCGCATGCATTTGTTTTTATATCTCTCATAGAGAGCGCTAGTTACACGGTTCGTACCGAGTAGTTTTGAACATAACTTTTTTGAGGTTAGATTTTTCAATCCAAATATGATATGAACTTGAACATCATTTAATTTCACACCCAAAAGGTGCTCTTGGTGAAACTCGATACTGTGTTCCGTTTTCGGAATATTTCGATTTGAAAATGATGAAGTGGTACCTAACTGTTGCTGGTATAAAGCTATGTATTAGAGCGAGTATTATGAAAAATTATCACCTATTTATTGAAAACTGAAAAAAACAATACATTTCTAATGCTCAAATTATTAATTTAACAATGAATCACAAGAATAACATCGAAACAGATTTGACTAAGAACATGGATTACACAGTTTTGTTGTATCTTGAGCAGAAAGTCTATGCTACATAGATAAATTCGCGTCAAGAGTTGTGAGACATAATTGAACATCACTTAAATGACTTAACATCTGATCCTCAACTGTTCAGAAGAATAATTCATTTTTAAAAAAAGAATATGGAATCGTGTATTCCTCGAAACGTAGGACTTTGAACACTTACTCTAAACTGATTCAATATTTCATGTTTCTAGTCAAATATCTCTTAATTTTCTACTTATGATTCTTTGTTCCATCAATAACTTCAGCACAAGAATAATTCTATCGTTTTTGAATCTGAATGAATTGGTAATTGAACTCAATAAAATTCATTTTATACCAGCATCATTTCTACTCCATTATTTCCAAATCGAAATATTCCGAAAACGGAACATAGTATCGAGTTTCACCAAGAGTACCTTTTTGGTGTGAAATTGAATGATGTTCAAGTTAATATCATATTTGGATTGAAAAATCTAACCTCAAAAAAGTTATGTTCAAAACTACTCGGTATGAACCGTGTAACTAGCGCCCTCTATGAGTCAGATATAAAAACAAATGCATGCGATGTGTCAGATTCCAAGAAACATCCATACAAAATTTCATTACAATGTTGCCAGTAGTTTCGACATAATCGTGAAAAATGTGTAAAAAAATCATTTTTTCAACACCTTGTATCATGAAAACGGATGCCGTTACGACATTTTTTCACTGAGCAAACCCAACTTATTTTGCAATGTTCTACCTACCCTAGCAAGGGGGTTAGGTTTTTTTGAAACACCCTGAATATGTTATTGAAACGTATTCCCATAACGTTCTCATTGACAAAGTTGAAACTATACCAACGTGTAACACATTTTATAGCCATTCGACGTTGAATAAACGTTCAATTATCAACGTACTGTGCCCATTGGGAGTCATCATCATTGCTACGATCATTAAAGAGACCTCTTGTAGCTACTAAAGCATCTCAAGGTCATATCTCAAACTGCCCCTCTACTGCCTCCGCCCGCTGCCCACGATCCTCTCCCTGCTGTCCTCCCTGCTCGAATTCCTCCTGGGAGGCGACCCTCCCGCCCCTCCTCCCCCCGTTCCTCCCACTCTGCTCTTCCGCGACCTCTTGAACTTGGCCATGTCCTCGCCGAACACGTCGCCCGTTCGCAGGGCGGATATTAGGTCGTCGAACTCGCCCTTGTCGTTGGGCGTGGTCAGTTTTTCGCCCCTCTGCAGGCTCATCGTCTTGATCGACGACAGGATACCTGAAATGCGGAGATGCCGATATGTGTTGGGTGTTGGAAATAATACTAAAAAGTCACTACAAGGGATGATACACAAAGAAAATGGATATATATAAAAAGAAATACATTGAGAATTCGCATTCTCCATGTTATGAAAATATTAATTCTTTCTGGGTTTATTCAACAGAAAACAACTACTTTCCTGGCTATATATCACGACGAACATTGAATTACATCTATTGAGCACACACGATGAGAATTTAATAACAAAACCTTCTGAAGTATAGAGAATTTGCATTCTCCTTCATATAAAGATATGCACATAATATCATTCTGAATATTCTACAGAAAAAAACTACTTTGCTGGATATTTGCCACGTCGAACATTGAATTATATCTGTTGAATATCCAAAAAGAGAGCATGAAAAATCAAAATCCTCTGAAAGTGACATTATCTCTCAAATCGAATAGAATATGATGAAAGTTATTTAAATATTATACAAGAGAAAAAAGTAGTAGATTTTAGCTCCAGGTTGTGTTGTCACAAAAAACCGTGAGCTAAAATCTAATATTTTTCCCGTGTATAATACACTATTTTTTTCTGTGACAGAAGAAAGGAAGAATGAAAATTGAGAAAATATTACATTATTTTGAAATCTGAAAATTATCGACGTGAAATTTTAAGTTTTCAACAGTAGGGACATCTGCGTTGTAGGCATCTTTATCATTCCTTTGAAGTAATCAAATATCTGATGTCACTTCTGTCAGTCTAGTTCTGTGATTTGATTTCAAAAAATTGCGAATTTAGTGGTTGTTTAGAAATATACGTAACCGCAAAATCGAATGGAAGATAAAAGGAATTGCAGTTCTTTCTCGGAGAAGGTATTATTGACTGATTTTTCGAAAATATAGCACAACAAAAGCCATCAACAGTGTATATACAGTGTGTCCACCTTAAGGACTTACCACCCCTGTAAAATCGTTATCATCCGACCGATTTCAAAAAACCTTTCTTTGTTGGATAGGTATTTGAAATGCCCATCCAACGAGAGAGTGATCTAATTCTTGGACTGTTATCGTGGCCAACTGCGACAAATTTCAATGACCCATATTCCAGAAAGTACTATTAGGGATTTTTTTCTGCGGAACTTGATGATGGATTCTGAATCAGTACCACTTGAAATATACCTGTACCGATTTTCATCATCATAAAACACAGGGTGTCCGAAAAAACGAATAATCATTTTCTTCAAATAGATGATCAGCAAATGTAGTTCTGTGGTTTTTCTAAAAAGAAATAATCACAAATTATCTCAAATATACCTGTACCAATTTTCGTCATTTGAATATACAAAATTAAAAAGGATAGGTAAGCAATATTTTTCATCCTGATAATTCTTCACTCAAAATAAAAAGATGAATCAGGATCACTTGGAACATTCCTGTACCGATTTTCATCATCATTAAAGACAGGGTGTTCGAGAAATCAAATTAATATTTTTTTTGAGTTGATGAAAAAATATTGCCTACTTTTTCTTTTCAATTGTTTTCTCATACACATCGTATTTTTGAATGATGAAAATCGGTACAGATATGTTCAAAGTGATCCTCAATAATGATGTGTCATCAATTCTTCTCAAAAATACCACAATACTACATTTTCTGATCACCTATTAAAAAAAAACATAATTCGTTTTTTCGGACACCCTGTGTTTTATGATGATAAAAATTAGTTATGGTGTTTTTCAAGTGATTGTGATTCAGAATCCACCATTGTTTTTTGTGAAAAAAAATCCCTAATAGTACTTTCTCAAATATGGGTCAATAAAGTTGGTCGCAGTTGGCCACGATTACAGTTCATGAGTAAAATCACTCTCTTGTTGGATGGACATTTCAAATACCTATCCAACAAAAAAATGTTTTTTGAAATCGGTCAGATAATAACAATTTTACAGGGGTGGTAAGTCCTTAAGGTGGACACACTGTATATGTGATATATATCTGGGAAAAAAGTACTCACTTTTTTCCCACGGGAAAAAAGTAATTTATGAAAAGTGACATTTTATAACCTGCCAACAGAGATGAAATGCCAAACTTTTTTCAAGTCACAGAAAAAAAAACTTACCAATATGTTCAGTATTGAAATCATAATTGAAATGTCGATGTTAAGTATACTTGTATAAACTCTGATATTGATCAGCTTAGAACTTCCAAAAAAAAAATCATTCGTATCATCAAGATCAGAGTTCATACAAGTATACTTCTCCTATACACTTCAATTTTCATTTCAATACTGAACATTTTGGTTAGTTATATATATTTTTATATCATAATACATCATATTATTCTATTCGATTTGAGAGATAATGTCAATTCTCAATTTCATTTCATTTTCATGCTCTCTTTTTGGATGTTCAACAGATATAATTCAATGTTAAACCTGGCAAATAGCCAGGAAAGTAGTTGTTTTCTGTTGAATCAACCAAGAAAGAATTAATATTTTCATCACATGGAGAATGCGAATTGTCAATGTATTTCTTCATATATTTATGCATATATATACAGAACGGCTGTATTCAGAAAAAAAAGGCTGAATTCAGAGCAAAAAGTTTGAATTCAGACAAATAATTCTGAATTCAGACGAGAAAGCATGGAGTGGGAGGAAAAAGTCTAGATTCAGAGAAAAAGGGCTGAATTCAGAGAAAGAGGGCTAATCGGAGAAAAAAAGGCTGAATTCAGAGAAAAAAAGGCTGAATTCAGAAAAGAAAATCTGAATTCGGAGAAAAAAGGCTGAAATCAGAAAAAACGGCTGAATTCAGAAAAAAAAGTCTGAATTTAGAGAAAAAAGTCTGAATACAGACAAAAAAACTAAATTCAGAGAAAAAAGTCTGAATTCAGAGAAAATTGTCTGAATTCAGACGACAAAAGTCTGAATAAAGAAATGGAATAGACACACAACAGCTTTCGCGGGAAACAAAGAATACACAGCGAAACAGTGCGGGATTACCTTCTCGGCTGTGCTTCCTCTCCAGCGTGAGCTTCTTGAGCTCCGCCTCCTGCTTGGCCCTCTTCTCCTCCTCCTCCTGCCGCCTGCGCGCGTTCTCGTTGTCCTGCCGCGCCTCGCTCAAAGCCACCACGAACGTGTCCAGCACGCCGAAGAATTCGTCCGGCTGGGCGTTCGTGTAGTCTTCGCCGAACAGACGAACGGCGCGCTCGAATCGGGTCTGACAAAAAAAAAATACAATCGGCTTTTATGAAATGGTTATTTCCAACTAGGAAAAAGCCAAATACTCAAAGTCGAATGCAATGGTCACAAAGAGAAAATACCCATAGTGGTTGTTATTTGGATATTTTTTGGACATCCATTTCACTATATGGACATACAATGGACGACAAAGTACTCACAATGTACAGGGTGATTGACTATGGATTTCTCGACTTCAACAGCTGATATCTTGAAAACGAAAAAAGATATTTGAAATTTGGAAAAAGGTACTTGAATGAGATGTCATTTCCTTCTAGAAAATGTGTTCTCTGCTTGATTTTATCATTTCATATACAGGGTTCGTGAAAAAAATTTTTTTTTTCTTATGGAACCCCCTGTATATTATCGCATATTTCGAAAGAGCTATCATTCCTGATTTCGAAGATATATACTTTTCATATATTCTATAGAGGGCTTGACGAAATATCAGCAAAATTAAATATTAATATTTGGTCCAAGTTAGCTATGGTTGAAATAGAATGAGATGATGAATAAGTGAATTGACATTTGGCCAACATTTCAGTGACATAAGTGCGCAAAATTTCGATAATTTTTTCACGATGCCATATCCACTGGAACAAAGAAGAGATATTTTGGAGTGCTATTTTTCAGTTAATAAAAATCTTGCTGAAACACTTACACTTATACTTACTTATATTGAATCTTTCAGATATGACAAGACAAAATTCAATCCGCTTCTCATTATCATCATAATTGAGTTTGTGGCATGGTCTAATTCTGAAATCCCTATATTTATATTTCTTTAAGGTATGTTGAACAAAATGATAGCTGAAACCAAACTCTCTCACTGCATTTCTTATTGACCCTGAAGGATCCTCAACAAAATACTGGATTACAAGAAGTTCCTCGTCTTCGTTGTCTTGCCTTCTCACTATTCTCTTGATATTCGACAAACTGGAAGTTCTGTCAAATTCAGCAGCCAAATACTTTACATAATTCTTACTTGGTAATCTCCTGCCTGGATAACTCCTCATAAACTTATGAAGTGTTTCAGCAAGATTTTTATTAACTGAAAAATAGCACTCCAAAATATCTCTTCTTTGTTCCAGTGGATATGGCATCGTGCAAAAATTGTCGAAATTTTGCGCACTTATGTCACTGAAATGTTGACCAAATGTCAATTCACTTATTCATCATCTCATTCTATTTCAACCATAGCTAACTTGGACCAAATATTAATATTTAATTTTGCTGATATTTCGTCAAGCACTGGATAGAACATATGAAAAGTATATATTTTCAAAATCAGGAAAGATAGCTCTTTCGAAATATGCTATAATATACAGGGGGTTCCATTTGAAAAAAAAATTTTTTTTCACATACCCTGTATATGAAATGATAAAATCAAGCAGAGAACACATTTTCCAGAAGAAAATGACATCTCATTCAAGTATTTTTTTCCAAATTTCAAATATCTTTTTTCGTTTTCGAGATATCAGCTGTTGAAGTCGAGAAATCCATAGTCAATCACCCTGTACAGTCGTATTCAATAAAATAGCGTTCATGTATTAAAAAGAGGATTTCGGGATCCTACTGGCTCAGCCAACGCTTCATGTTTTTGAGAACCTATGACAACTTTCACAGGAAGGAAGGAATGCTCGAAGTCATCTCCACAAATTTTAATGATATTTTTAACTAAATCATGAGGGACATGTTTCGGTCTTATAAAAGACCATCTTCAGCCTAATTGAAAAGTTTGGAGTTGAAAAAATTATGTTATTAAATGCTGCTATTCCTTGAACTGTCAATGCCCATAGTCGAGAGTTCCAAAATTCTGAATAAACGGGTTCTCAATAAATGAAGGGCCCCGTGCCCTGAGAGCGTATACTAAATCATAGCAAATGCTACCTTATGTCATTTCTCAGGAGTTTACTCGCCAAGCCCCAATGAATTTGCTTGGCTTAGCCTGATTCACAGTATTTTATTGATGTCACGACCATTAGATAGACTCTGAAAATCACCCTGTGGCCGTGGCCATGTTCTGTGCTGTTCTAAAAATGTTATTAATTAACATTTCCCATCAGTAGGCATCTCTGAGTTTGAAAGACATCGAAAATTGATTATACAGGGTGTTTCACAGGTAAAGGGAAATATTCCAATGGTAGATAGGGGTCACTAAGGTGGTTCTGAAAATACCATATTTGATAGGTCTTAGAGTTTTCATAACGGAGATACAGGGCGATTTATCGATTTCGAATAATTATTCATTCGTCTATAAGTATTGAACTACCCAGTATATTTTCCTAAAATTTGGTATGGAGCTTAAACTTGGGACGTTGAATTCATTCACCTATCGGGCGAAGAGAATATCCAGGTTCGGCTTCAGGAAAAATTTACATTTATTCGAAATATTAAAGTAACAAACTGTATGTTATAATTGACAGAGTTCATCAAAGGAATCGTGAAGAGGAGGAAAAACTGAACTGGATTCGATGCTTTTTGTTTTCCCGCCACCAATTCTCATCGTAACAATCATAAACAGAAAACTGAAAGTATTATGTCAATTTGAAGAGTATTGAAATTATGAAACCAGTGTCAATTATGATTATTCGATATATTTTAGTCAAAAAATCGTTCGAAAGAACTTACTAAGTTTCACAGTTTTTATAACAGAGATACAGGGTGAATTATCGGTTTTGAATAATTATTCACTCGTCCATAAGTACAAAACTACCCAGTAACATTTTCTCGAATATGGTATGTAGCTTACTTGGGACGATGGATTCATTAACCTATCAGGCGGAATTATAATTCGATAATTCACCCTGTATCTTATAAAGACTATGAGACTTTTCCTGAAGCTGAACCTGTATTTCCATTCTGCCTGATAGGTCAATGAATCCATAGTCCCAAGTAAGCTCAATACCAAATTTGAAAAAATATTACTGCGATGGGTAGTTCAATACTTATGGACGAGTGATAATTCACCCTGTATCACTGTTATAAAGACTGTGAGACTAAGTAAGTTCTTTCGAACGATCATTCAACAAGAATATATCAAATAATCATACTTGAAAGTGGTTTCATGATTTTAATACTCTTGAAATTGACATAGATTTATCCTCCTGTTTATGATTGTTACGATGAGAATTGGTGGCGAGAAAACAAAGAGCATTAAATCCAGTTCAGTTTTTCCTCCTCTTCACGATCCCTTTGATGAACTTTGTCAATTATTACATACAGTGTGTTATTTTAATATTTCGAATAAATGTGAATTTTTCCTGAAGCCGAACCTGGATTTTCACTTCGCCCGATAGGTGAATGAATTCAACGTCCCAAGTTCAAGCTCCATACCAAATTTCAGAAAAATATACCGGGTAGTTCAATACTTATAGACGAATGAATAATTATTCGAAATCGATAAATCGCCCTGTATCTCCGTTATGAAAACTCTAAGACCTATCAAATATGGTATTTTCAGAACCACCTTGGTGACCCCTATCCACCATTGAAATATTTCCCTTTATCTGTGAAACACCCTGTATATTATATTGAATTAATAAGTTGATTACACACTTTCAAAGCCGTGTTTCCACATAAACAAGATATGATCTAACCTCAAATTGGGATGAAGATGAAAAGAAACATTCGATGATAGATAAGGATAGATTGACAAAACGCATCGACTCGACTCCTCATGAGCTATCGAGGAATCGAGTCGAGTTCACACGATTCATTCGAGAAGAAACAGAATACCAAATATCGAATAAAGATGGCCGATTCGACTCGATTCGTTAAATAGAATCTCCCTGCAAAATGTACATCACAGTTTGCCGCCCCAAAAATTAGAAATTGCGTTAATTTGAAAATGAAATAGTTATTTATGTATTAAGGGAATTATGAGGGCCTTAATTACCGATGGCAAAGTTTGCGTCCCGAGGGCCTCTGGCCCGAGGGACAGCAATTGCCAGAGGTTATTAAGGCTCTATAATTCCCGTGATACATAGATAATTTTATTTCTGACTGATTTCATTCATTAGATACCTTCCCGATTGGAAGTTAGACATGTTTTTCCGTATAGTTTCAATGTCATCAGAACGTCAGATGATGATCTTGACTACCGCGAATAGGAGATTCCTTATTGCTATGTTATTGCGTGGTTGTTGCTATGCATTTCTCATTTAATTTTAGCTAGAGGGAATTATAGCATCTATAACATCCCAAGGGAGTTATGACCTTCATTATAGATATCGTAACTATGACGATATAAGCTTATAATGTCACTGTCAGGAATAAACAACTTTTACTATATCGGTCGCCATTCTGTACAGCGTGGACATAAAACTGAAGAGTTCCGAACTCATTTTATGAAAATTCATCGGAAGGAAACTTCCCCATTCGATATTTTCAATTCCTTCCAGACAAAATGAATAAAACACCAAATTTCTCTTGCAGCTCACCTTCATGTCCTGGTACTGGTCCTCGACCTCGGCTAGCCGGCACGTCGCCGTCGCCTGGAACTCGCGCATCACCGGCACGAACTTGTCGGCCGCCTCGCCCTTGGCCGGGCTGCCGTTCTGGCTGCGATGGAACTCGATCTCGCGCGCCACCTCGCGCAGCCCCGCCCTCAGCTGCGCCACGTCCTTGTTGAGCTCGCCCAGCGACACCTTGGCGGCGTCGCGCACGTGCGGCAGGTCCTCGTCCAGACGCAGCACGTCCTTGAACTGCGAGAAGAACGAATCAATTGACACGCGTCACAATACGAAAACGATGGCTATATCCCGAATTCAACTGACAGTATACTGAATCTGCTGATTTTTCAGTCCGAAATCAAAATAATTCACTAAAAGTGACAGATACTTGTGAGTAGGGTCCCTTGATGAAAATTGACGTTAAAGTCATCTTAACAGGGTACGGACAGATCATAGCTGCATTCTTTTTTAATGATCTAGAGATTTTAGTTTTGTCTACTGGTATCCCTGACATTGCTGTCACGTCACATCCATGGGCGCTACAGAAAATCATTCAAAACTGTAATACAGGTGTACAGAGGGTATTTACTTGTTGAGGAAGATCATATGACGAACATTTTTTGTAATTATGATCCGATTCTATTCAAAATTGGAAGGTATGTGGGGTTTTCCGGGGTTGGAGATGATGATTGTTTCGTCAAACTTGGAAAATTCGAGATGACGGATCCAATATATAGCAAAAGAAATTTCTAATTATGATCTGATTCAATTTAAGATTGGTATCTGGGGGTTTTCGAGGTCGAACTTTATGATTTTTTGTCAAAATTGGGAAATTTAAGATAGCGGATTCAATAGGGCGAACGAAACTTGTAATTATGATCCGATTAAATTCAAAAAATCAGTTAGTTTTGTAATGGAGATCCGATTCTATTCAAAATTGCTATCTGGGGGTTTTCGGGGTAGGAGATAATGATTGTTTCGCCAAAAATTAACACATTCAAGATGACGGATACAATATGGCGAAAGACATTAGTTTATATAATTATTACTCTACCACAAATAGAAAATATGTAGGATGCAAGAGTGAAAATAACGTGCCTATAAGTTATACTGTGTATACTTAGCGTATATCTACTTCTTTGTTACTTTCATCAATAAATTATTCGAAAATGACTTTATTTAAAAGAGACGGAAAAATCATATGTATAACATGGAGGTGAAGTATATTCTATTCTTTATTTGCCTGCACATTTTACGTATTAATTTTTATCAGCCTACTTTTCGTCCTAGACGAAGTTTTATACATAGTGTGATATTAGTAACTCGATAAATTCTTCTCCGAGTTGGATTTTGAAAATATATTTAGCACACATGACATGAGTACAGTAGTCCAGATACCCACATCGAGGTTTCCACCATTGCTCAATCATAAGGCTCAGCTCATAGATAAACTACTGCTCAGCTAGAAATCAGAATTTATTCAGTCGATTCAGTCGACCCTGGTATACAGTCTAAGAACAGTCTCATTTGGTGAAATATGGAAATTACGTATGATACGCCAGTGACCTCAATATAACCTAAAAAACAACGAATGTCGAAAATCTAGTGTTTATCCCCAGAATTGAATAAGGATGGAATTATATAACTGTTTCACAAACACTTTAGACTGAGAGGAGACGAGGATCTGTCCGTACCCTGTTAAGATGACTTCAACATTAATTTCCATCAAGGGACCCTACTTGTGAGTAAACAAACTATCCATTCTGCTGAAAATATTGACTACCAAAATGTAGTGTGGCTCTGTTCTTCTTCAGACACATTAATAGTCTCGTCTTATCATTAATAAATCGATAATATCATTCAGTATCCGAAAATGGCTGTTATTGAAATATTTGACGCTGAGAATAATATTCAAATTTATCCAGCTGATCAACTGCTACTGATTACTGATGAGAACCCTGCTAGTGATAACTGATGAAAACGTGTTCTGAATTACAGCATTGTATTTTTGATTTTATATATCGGTACACAGGTTTTCAGTAGTCAGTGGATTTACCTACAGTACTGATCAGTTGAATTCAGAATATAGCCAATATTGACCTATTGGGTCACAGCTGAAAATTGTTTATTTCAGATCGAAAATGGGTTGCGTGCAAGAACTGTCAGATGACCGACGCTGGAGGCAAAACATTGAAACACAATGTCACTTTTCTTATTTGATTACAAGTGGTTGAAATAGTTTTTCACAATCATTTTGGCATACGAATCGTATTTTTCCGCTATTCATCAATTCGCTCATGCCATCACATTGTGCTGTTGTAAAATGCACAAAAACTGCAGCGGAAGATGAAGGAATCCGGATGGTACATTATGATTTGAAAGTAAGTACCTACTATAGTCACTCACATATAGTTTTCATTTTTGAAATTTGGTAATTTCTCTGATTTCTCATCGGAATTCCTTCTGCGATAGGAGCTAATAGAAATACACCTGAAATTTTTATAATAATGCAAGAAGATTGGATTCATGCAATCAATCGGGAGGACTTGTCTGACATGCTGACGATCGTGTGTATTGTAGACATTTTCAATCTATTAGTAGTATTAGCTTGTATTGCAGGAGTGGCAGAAGGCAGAAGGAATTTTAATAAGGAATGACAACATTTCATGATGATAACTATGTGGGATTACTATTTACCTGAAAAATCATATTCCCTAGTCTCTTGCTGCATTTTTTGTGCATTGTACAACAGCACAATGCGAAGGCATGCTTAAATTAATGAATAACGCAAGAAACACGATTCGTGTGCCAAAATATTGTGAAAAACTATTTCAATCCTTTGATTCCTCTGTAACCAAATAAAAAAGTGTGGTTGTGTTTCAATAATTTACAGAAGAATGAGGTTGTGTTTCAATATTTTGCCTCCAGGGTCGGTCATCGTGCACGCGACCTATTATAAAAACGATGACAGGTTATTTGATACTTGTCGATACCTGTCCAAAATTATGTTTTTGCAAGTGAAATACGTCTCACGCTGCCTAGCTAACCAAAATTACATTGCAGCTGTCACGTGTAGCATGTTTGATTTCTTTAACTTCATCCGTTTTGTTTTTGTATGTACGATAAATTCATATTCATTATACAGGACGTGGAAAGAAATTCTGAATTGAGAAAACCTAGTCACATAATATCACTCTGAATATACAACAAAAAACAACTACTTTCCTTTCATATTATTTTATCCGATTTTTTATCCGATTTTTCCCTAGGCTGTCACCCTATAGTGACCTTTGGCACCTCGCAGGAGGATTTCGCATTTTGATCCTCAAGATAACTACTTAGAGATATCGCGGAGAGTTCCGTTTACCTGGGTAATATTTATGTTTGTTTAGGTACGTATATAATTCTCATTCCATCAGGTATTCGGTATATGAGTTCAAGAAATGATCCAATTTCCACCCACATTAGTGGTGGAATACGTCATTTTAGGTACCATTGCTAAACTATATTAGAACAAAATTCCCCGAACTATCAGATTTATCGGTAAATCTTGTAACACTGTACTGGCGAAAACGGCTCGCATTTTAAGCTGTGCCTACATGGCTTTTCTGATGAAGTACTTATGAACATGGTGGACGCGAGCCGAATTTTTTCTGGACTCCAAAATATATGTGCTCAACGAATTTCCATAAACTCACCTTCTTCTCGAGTATCTGCACCAGATAGTGCAACAACGTCGTCCCCTTCGCAGCGCTGGACTTCGTGTCGCCCAACCGGTTCAGCGAGGCCAGCTTGAACCCCGAAGCGTTACCCCTCGCCCCGCGGTTCATGTAGTTGCCCAAGGCCAACACGATCTCCAGCAGCTTGCGCAGGCGACGCGAGCGCGACACTTCGCGCGACGCCTCCATGACGCCGGTGATGCGCGGCACTATCTCGTTTAGGGCCACTTGGAAGCGCTTCTTGTAGTGCAGGCTGCGCAGACGCTGTTCGTAGTGGGGCACTCTGCGAAGAAATCAATTTTCAGATGCGTGCCAGGTTTCATATGGCTTTCAACGTCACGCTGCGTATTGTCAACGTTACGCTAAATATTGTGAAACGTTACGCTGCATATTGTGAAACGTTACGCTGCATATTGTGAAACGTTACGTTGTGCATTGTAGAACGTTACGCAAACATGCAAGTATTGCAGACGTCACTCTCATTGATATATCGAGTATTAGAATTTTGTCAATCATGCAGCAGTACATAAACTGGAGTTTTGTAGTGCAGACTTCTAAGACGCTGTTTGTAGTGAAGCGCTCTGCGAAGAAATGGAATATCAGTTGCGTGTCAACGTGTCAAGTTTCGTATACCTTTGAATGTCACATTGTCTATTGTCAACGTTATGCTGCATATTGTGAAACGTTGCGCCGCGTATCGTGAAACTTCACGCAAACATGCATATTATTGATATATCGAGTATCAAAATTGCAGGCAATCAGTAGTATATAAACTGAGGAGTCTTGTAGTGTAGACTTCGAAGACGCTATTCGTAGTGAAGAAACCTGCGGAAAAATCGAGTTTCAGATGCGTGTCAAGTTTCGTACTGTTGCTGCGAATTGTCAAACGTCACGTTGCATATTGTAAAACGTTACGCAGACATGCAAGTATTGCAGACGTCATGCTTATTGATACATCGATTATTAGAAATTGCAGACAATCAGTAGTACATGAACTGACGAGTTTTGTAGTACAGACCTCTTAGACGTTGTTAATTCTTAGTGGAACACCTCGCGAAGTATTTGAATTTCAGATGCGTGTCAGGTTCCATATAGCTTTCATCGTCAACCTGTGTATTGTTAACGTTACGCTGCATATTGTGAAACGTTACGCTGCATATTGTGAAACGTTACGCTGCGCATTGTGAAACATTACGCAAACATGCAAGTATTGCAGGCGTCATTCATATTAATATTTCGAGTATTACAATTGCTGTCAATCATGCAGTAGTACATAAACTGAAGAGTATTATAGTGCAGACTTATAAAACGATGTTCATAGTGAAGAAACCTGCAGAAAAATCGAATTTCTGATGCGTGTCAAGTTTCGTATTGCTTTGAACGTCACGCTGCGTATTGTCAATAATAACGTTATACGTTGCATATTATGAAACGTTACGCTGCGTATTGTGAAACGTTACGCAAACACGCAAGTATTGCAGACTTCATTCATATTGATATTTCGAGTACTAGAATTGCTGTCAATCATGCAGTAGTACATGAACTGAAGAGTCTTGTAGTGCACACTTCTTAGACGCTGTTCATAGTGAAGACACTTGCGGAAAAATCGAATTTCAGGTGCGTGTAGCCTTGAACGTCACGTTGCGTATTGTCAGCGTTACGTTGCATGTTGTGAAACATTACAATGCGCATTGATAAACGTTACGAATATTTCTAATACTCGATATGTATTAGAAATTGAAGGCTATCAGTAGTAGATAAACTGAAGAGTTTTGTAGTGCAGACTTCTGAGACGTTATTCGTAATGGGGAAATCTGCGTATAAATTGAATCGAATGTGTTGAGTTCCAGTTCTGAATGTCCAAGTGAGGAATGCAAGCAATAAACATCATGTGTGTAAGAATCCAGTGGAGCGTTGCGCTAGACAACCCAGTTAAAACGTCACGGTTGTAAGGAAAAAATCTCCATCGATGTGCACAAAAATCAAAAAACGAATTTCACATAATTCCACTCACTTGGAGATTTCGTAGAGGAACCTGTCTGCCCTGGCCAACGAGTCGATCTCGTCGCTGTGCTCCTCCAACAGCGCCGCCTCCTCCGAGCTGGGCGTGAACTTGAGCAGCTGCTCGACCATGTCGATGGGCAGCTGCTCGGCGCCGTCCATGCTGAGGATGGCCCTGGTGATGTCCTCGTCGGACATCTTCAGCTTCGACAGCAGGATGGTGCAGTTCTGGGCGCGACGGCCGTCGATCACGGAGAGGACCTTGGCGCGGTTCTTGCCCATCTGGCGGAGGTCTTCGATGGAGCCCTCGTTCTGTGAATTCCAGGGAAATAACAGGAAAACAATCATATCTATGAAACGACTATTTATTTTGATTGATTGATTGATTGTCTTTATTACCCCAAGAAACATTTCTGTTTATGATAGGGATACATAAATACATATGAAAAAATAATAATAAAGGGTTAACTAATGAATTCCACTCAGTGGAAAAGAATTAATATTGTTTCTTAAGATTAAAGTTATATTTCATTCCTAAGTAATCAATGGAGACTGTCCCATTTTCGATGTCCTTAAGAGATATTTCAATTATTTTTTCCTACAAACTTCAAAAATGACAAGGTTCGCGCATTGATAACAAATTGCGGAGTGACACCTTTTTTTCAGTTTCCTACGTTACCATGATACCTTGCACAAAACAATGCGCGAAGTACCTACTTCGAGCATTGTTATGTAAAATAAATGAGATATTCATATTTCAACTTTATGGTCCTCAAACGTCCACGAAATTATTTATTTCTGAATGTTCAACAATAACTTTGTTTTATCTCGTGGAGCGCACGAAAGAAAATTCCTATTAGGTTCGTGGAACATCGTGTGTACTTAGGGAGGATAGCGGGAGGCCTTTCAAGTCAGTTCAACACTATTTTTTATATCAAGCTAAACATATTTTTAGTTTAGAACTATATTTTTTGACGTTTGAAGAAAAATTGTTGTTTGCAACTCGAGCGCGAAATACTTTGGTCATCTCGACTATTTTTTTAACTCGCCTACACCCCGTTAAAAAAATCAGATCTCGATCACCAAAGTAGCATTTCGCGCTCTAGATACAAAAATAACTATCAAAGATAGAAATTTACGGTTTTCGCGAACGATGGCAGCTTTTTCGTGAAATTCACGATACCGCAAACAAAATTCTCATATTTTGCTTCGTTTTCGAGATTCAGGGCGAATTTGAAAATGTTGCATATTGGGGCCCCCCCTCTGTATCTCAGCTATCTTTCAACTTATAGGCAAAGTGAAAACTGTCCCTTTCACAGTCTTTTTACTTAGAATCCAGTGACGTAGACAGATTTTTCGAAATAATCAGTCATTATTTAGATATAACCAAAAGTTATCTTCCTTTAAATAAAACACTCTGTATATTTTTTTGTCATTGAAACAGTGATTTTATGCACTTCTCAAAAATATAATATGTGGGCATCATTAGTGCGATGGGTGGTAATGAAAAAAACCGAGTGCAGAATGTTTTCTTATGAGGTTGTACACACCGCAGAAAGTTCGTTCCAATATTAGAAACGTTACGCTTGAAATTTGAAACAATACACAATGCCCTTGAAACGTTTCGCGAAGTACTTGAAGTTGCTTGAACATCATTGATATAGGTTCAAATATTATCCGTGTTACCTCAAATGTTGGTTTTATGATTGAACGTTACAATAATTTGAAATCAACTGTGACCCACAAATGTATTCAACAAATTGAAAAAAAAAATCGCATCCATATTTTGAAAACATGTCGATTTTGTGTTTCAACTCCGTACATTTTATGTAAAATTTTCATTTTTTCGCCATCTTTGTATAAACTGTGACATAATCACACATATTTCTGAATTGCACCCCATTTTCATTGTAAATTGTCAAAATATCTTTGATGAAAATTGAGGTGAACATACTACTGAAATCAGGAATTATTTGGGAAAAAAGGGAGATGACGTCATAGATTTGCAGCAAATGGCAGCAAAAATGTAGAATTTATTGCGCAGTATATTATTGGTATCAGAAATAACTTACCGCCACTCCATTCTTTTGATAAGCGCAGAACAGCTTATCAATGCAATCTAACTCCATGGTATTGTACAATTTGCTATCGTCCAATTCGCTCCAGATGGTGCCGTTCACTTTGGCATCAGGCAATTTGGACCAATTGAAACTCTTCAGCGGATTTGCTGGCTGAGGAATGTTCTTTTTGACGGCCTCCACCTAAAATGGATATAATCACACAAACATAAGGTGACAATTTCTTGCATTCTATTTTAGAAATGAATATCAACTGAAACGTTCATAATAATATTGCCTAGCAAGCCTTGTAAACGTCACGCAACCTTCGAACTTCACAACATACATCTAATCGTTACAAAACCAACATATCTCACAACAAAATTTCAAACGTGACGCAACCATCGCACCTCGTAACGTACTTTCAAAAGTAACACATCCATCGTACATTACAACATACATCATCAAATGTTACAAACCATCATACTTTACAACAAACTTTCAAACGTTACGCAACCATCTCACCTTGCAACATACTCTCAAACGTTACGCAACCATCATACTTCACAACAAACTTACAAACCTTACGCTACCATCATACCTTACAAAAAACTTTTGAACATTACGCAACCATCTCACCTTGCCTCATACTCTCAAACGTGACGCAACCATCTCACCTTGCAACATACTCTCGAACGTAACGCAACCATCGTACATTATAACATACATCATCAAACGTTAAAAACCATCATACTTCACAACAAACTCAGACCTCACGCTACCATCATACCTTACAACAAACTTTCAAACGTTACGCAACCATCTCACCTTGCAACAGACTCTCAAACTTTACGCAACCATCATACTTCACAACAAACTTACAAACCTTACGCTACCATCATACCTCACAAATAACTTCCAAACATTACGCAACCATCTCACCTTGCATCATACTCTCAAATGTCACGCAACTATCGTACCTTACAACATACATCCAGACGTTACGCAATAATTATACCTCACAACTTCATTTATACTTCATCATACCTTACAAAAATCATTCAAACGTTACGCAACCTTTGCACCATACAACATATTTTCAAACGTCACGCAACCCTCGTACCTCACAACATACTTCCAAACGTTACGCAACCATTATACCTCACAACATAGGTACGTTCAAACGTCCGCAACCACAGTACCTTGCAACATGTACTTTCAAACGTTACGCAACCATCTCACCTTGCAACATACTCTCAAACGTCACGCAACCATCCTACCTTACAACATACATCCAGAATTGTACCTCACAATAACTTCATGCATACTATTCATCATACCTTACAACAATCTTTCAAACGTTACGCAACCTTCGTACCATATATAACATATTTTCAAACGTCACGCAACCATCGTCCCTCACAACATATACTTCCAAACGTTACGCAACCATTATAATTCATAACATAGGTACGTTCAAACGTTACGCAACCAGTATACCTTACAACATAGGTACTTTCAAACGTCTCGCAACCATAGTACCTTGCAACATGTACTTTCAAACGTTACGCAACCACACCGCCAAATATCGCATACACACGCAAAACAAATTCCCACCGACCTTGAGCGGTTCCGCGGGCGGCGCCATCGGCACGCACGGCGGCGGCGGAGGGCCGGGCGCCGGTGGAGGAGGTGGCGCCAGCGGCGGAGGCGGCGGCGGGGCGCCGACGAACTCGTTCGCGCACTCGGCGACGCCGCCGTCCAGCGACTTGTTGAGGCCGATGGCTTTGGCGTCGTCGGGCAGCGAACCGCAGCTGACGAGTCGCTCCAAGCGGTGGCGTTCGCCGCGCTCGTTGTGCACTTGGCGGTCGAGGTCGGCGGCTTTGTATTCCGCCTCGTTCAGTCTGGAAATCGAAGTAGGTATCTGAATTACTTTGAAGGAACAGGAAGAAACTGTTTGTTGCATTTCCTTCAAAATTAATCATGCTGTTGGTGAAAAAGAATAATTCTGAATTCATGGCAAATTGTAAGTCTTATATTATTTCTAACTTCCATAAATAGGTAACTGATATTTGTTTTCCAGATAACAAATTAACTGCCCTACATATTTTTCTACAATGAAGCAGGAAGAACAACATTTGAGAAGATTCCATTACTGTCAAGATCACACTTGAGCAAGGTCTTGAGATGGAGAATAATGGAGATATTTCGTAATGATTTCATTCTTATTCCTTGTATAGAATTACAAGCTTTAAATTATTCACAGTGTTGATCATATCATATCATATTCTGGTTTTTATATTGAAATAAAGCAGAATTGAGTAGGTTGGCTACTAAAATTGCACTTGTCTTTTCTATGGAAATATCATAGGCACTTTCACAAGAATGATCAGTCCTGGTGGAAGTAGCATCAGCACTCTGGTAAGCCAGTTCTATCCTTCCAGCATCTTTGTCATTATCAGATTCATTTGATCCTCTCACTGAGGATGATTTGGCTGATATGGCTGAAGAATGATTAGAGACATATTCAAGTTTTGTATCAAAGTGACCTTCCTCTTTCCCATTCATATCCATTGATCACAAGTTTTCCATTTTGATGCATTGTAATTGGTGAATTCTGTGAAGGTATTTGATCTGCCTCACAGAAAATGTTCCTTTTTCTGCAATTGTATTTGAATTCCCTTGAAACTTGAAAGAAAAGCACATTACATAGGACATTGAGGAGATATTTTTTCAATATGAAAGAAATTACCTTCATAATATGTTTCTAAGAAGTGTCTCCTACAGACAGGCATATATACAGGGTGGGCCACCAGTAACGCCTCGGTCTCTAGAAGGCTAACCACTTATCTTCTTGGAATTCTTCCTCTCTAGGAAGTTGCATGTCAACATAGGCTACCATTTAAAATTATTTCGGAACATACAGGGTGTCCCCAAAATCCATAAAACACTGAAGTTGAACTTTTTTCTATCGAACACCCTATATATTATTTCATTTTGAGATTCTCCCTGATGAGCTGATTTCAACGACCCATCATACTTGGGGTCTAGCAGTTTTAATTACTGAAATATAGGGTGTGAAAAATCGAGATTTTCCAAGTTCAAGAATTTTTTGTGTCGAAACTATTCATAATTGGTCAAAACGGCTTACATTCTGCACCACCCTGTAAAGGTATGACTTATATACATCGATGGAAAGGTGAGAATTTCCCCGTTACACTAGTTAAGGTGTTAAAATGTTAGAAATAAAGAGCACGGAGAAAAAAACCACCGAAAAAAAATGCGTTTTTTCCTTGACCCCGCTTTTTCTAATTTTATTCAAAAATGGACGACTTCGTCTAACAAAGTAATTGCACAATCGAAAAGTAGACCTTCTTAGCTTTCAAATGATGTATTATAGAAACCAATCGGATCATGTATAAATTTTTAATTGATGGTTGTTCACAAAATTTCCCCGCGCTCCAAAAACAGCAAAAAATTGGGATTCAATGAACAAAGATTGAATGAAAATTAAAAAAAATTAGGGTATACAAATTTCAGGGATGACAAAGGACCTTATGAGAACCCATAATCAAGAAAATTTTGAGTAAATTAGTGCAATACAAAAAAAAATAGGAACAAATTCCTGGCGAGGTCAAAATTGACCGGGAGCAGAAAGCTTGACCCATGTTCCGATATGGCCAAAAGAGTCAAGCGTGACTCAATTCACAGGGTATGATAGCAGCAGAATTACTCTTTCACATGAACTTTGAATCATGAAAAAATATGCATTTTTAACAAAGTTATTGAATAATTTGTCCCCCCGCCGATGTGTAAATACACGGACTATGCTCTCCGGCATACAACATAGGAGCTCATTATTCGAGGTGCGTTTCGTGCCGTTTTTCTCGAAACCGGGCAAATTTTCGAGAAAAATGATAAGGACCATTTTTGTAGAAAATCAACTGAACTTCAATTTTTATCTGAACCGAAAATCTCTAACTGCCATATTTTAGGAGATATTGGCTGAAAACAAATTTTTCTGGTCTTTTGGGGACATTTTCTCCGCCATCGCACGCGTTTTCCAGTCAAACTTTGTCTCATGTTTAATGAGGTACCAAAAGCTACCTCCAACCGGAAGATGAAAATAGTGCGTAATTAATGTTAACTTTTTCCCTTTATTTATTGGACTATGTCCATTGAACAAACAACCGAGCAGATCAACCCACCTCTGCCTGGTGTTGATGTGGGTGCTCGTCTCCCTCTCGTGAATTTCAAATTCAAAAAATGTTCAGAACTCAAAGGAAAATGCGATTGGTGACAATGAGCTATTTGGTTAGGTTTAGTACTTCGAAATAACGAAATGAAAGGACCCCGCACGAAAACAAGGGAAATTGGCTCTCGGTCGAATCGGCTGAAATTTTACTATGTTGTTGTGGGATGGCTCATTACAAAAATATGTGAGTTTAAAGAGTTTTGTATGTTTAGTTTCTGAGATATAAAGCCGACAAAGTTCGTGAAAACGTCGTATCGGGGTAGGATTGACAAAGAAAGAAACTGTTCTTTTAGTATAAATAAGACAAAATAAGCTAGAAAATGTATTGATCGGAACTCAAATATATGTCTAGTTATGATCACATAAATTATAGTAAATCAGGGTGCATACGGCACGGTAAAAAAATTCATTTTTCGGAAAAAAAATTCGAGCACTATTCCAAAACCAATAAGTTATATTCTGGTGGGACATCATAGTTCTAGTCTATTGTAGGCTTCGAAAACGTTCTTGATTCTTGATAACTATCTCAGTTCGAGATATGAATTTTTAGAATTTTGTGTTACACCTCTTTTTGAAAACAATTGACAGTTTGTTTTTGATCACAAAGAAAGGGATTGATTGATACTGTTGATTGAATGAAAGCTGAGGTGATTCACTAGCGCATTCAGTTGTTCAATATTGCCTTTCATTTAGATACAGGGTGTGTTAGATTTTGTTGGAGATGTTTCAATTGAATATCTCAAAAACACTTCCGTTAATCTAGATCTCATTTTACTGACACTATTTTGAATATGTTGACTATCATATGCGACAAGTTCTCCAATTTTTTATGTTTCGTTTCTGAGATATCATTTTCACAGTATTTATTATATTACAGGTATTATAGGGTTATTACCTCGGATATTACTATCGATCTAACAGAACTTTACGGAATCTTCCGAACATTCAATTACATTATGAAACTATTAGAGATCAATAATTTGTTACTATAAACAACACGAACCACATTGAAAAACAATATAAAACTCAACAGTGGATTCCGTGAAGTTCTGTTGAGTAATATCCAAGGTAATAACCTTATAATACTTGTAATACTGTGAATTCAAAAATGCATATCTCAGAAACAAAACATAAGAAATTGAAAAACTTCTTGCATATGATAGTCAACATATTCAAAATAGTGTGAGTATAATGAGATCCAAATTAACGGAACTGTTTTCGAGATATTCAATTGAAACATGTTAAATAATCTCCAACAAAATCCAACACACCCTGTATCTAAATGAAAGGCAATATTGAACAACTGAATTCGCTAGTGGGTCACCTCAGCTTTCATTCAATCAACAGTATCAATCAATCCCTTTCTTTGTGATCAAAAGCAAGCTCTCCATTGTTTTCAAAAAGGGGTATAGCACAAAATTCTAAAAATTCATATCTCGAACCGAGATAGTTATCAAGAATGAAAATACGTTTTCGAAGCCTACGATAGACTGAAACTATAATGTCTCACCGAAATATTACTTGTTGGTTTTGGAATAGTGCTCGAATTTTTTTTCCGAAAAATGAATTTTTTGACCGTGCCTCGTATGCACCCTGATTTACTATAATTTATGTGATCATAATTAGACATGTATTCGAGTTCCGATCAATATATTTTCTAGCATATTCTGTCTTATTTATACTAAAAAAACAGTTTTTTTCTTTGTCAATCCTACCCCGATACGACGTTTCTACGAACTTTGTCGGCTTATATCTCAGAAACTAAACATACAAAACTTTTCAAACCCTCATATTTTTCTAATGAGCCATCCCACAACAACATGGTATAATTTCAGCCAATTTGACCGAGAGCCAATTTCCCGTGTTTTCGTGCGGGGGGTCCTTTGTCACCGAACACATCGACACACATACCTCTGCCTGGTCTCGATGTGGGCGCTGGTCTCCCTCTCCAACCGCTCCTTGATCCTGCCCAGACTCGTCTCGAGGTCCTCCTTCTCCTGGCCGCGCCTGTCCAGCTCGCGTTCCCTCTCGGCTAGCCGGCTCGACATGTCGCCGTTCTCTCTCTCCAACTCCTCGGCCTTCCTGCGCGCCTCCACCAGCTCTTCTTCTTTGGCCAGCAGGTGCACCAGCTGCTGCACGTCGATGGACAGCGGCGACACGTCGGGGTTTTTCACGCTGGAAGGTGGATATTAGGAGTGAGTGGATTGAATAGAGTGACAGCGAGCTCCGAATAGCTGCCCTCCCATGCGCAGTAATAAATTTGCGCCTTTGAGGTGCTCACCTGATGTTAGGTTTAGATATTTGATTTTTCTATTTCATTATCTCAATAATCTGATATACAGTGTGTCCCACTTACCATGCTCACCATGAGTATCTTTTTAACGGTGAGAGATATACGAGGTCGGTTAAATGACACCAAATGTGGAGTGTGTCAAGGCCAACTATAATGTGAAAAAATATTTTGATAAAATCTATTCGTTTTTGTTTTATACGCAAAAAACAGATTTTGATCATTTTCATGTCTCCTTCGTAACTTCTTTATTTATGAAAATATTCGAATAGGACTTTCACATTCTCATGGCAGTTTTTCAAAGTGATTTCGAAAAAAATATGAAATTTATACCAACTCTTCTAGAATTTGAGATATCAGCACCAACTTTAGTTTTTCAAATGTAGGTCATAGCTCACTATGACTTAGTTACAAATAACTTTTTTTTCTCTTTCAGATGATATGTCGCAGTAATATATATCGTCATTTGTACAAGAACAAAAAATTATTCGGAAGCCGCCATCTTGAATTTATAAATTTTAACAAAAAAATCATGATCTCCGACCTCAAAAACCCCCACTTACCAATTTTGAATGAAATTGGACCAAAGCTTTTCTGCCATCTTGGAGCAGCCATTTTTTTTAATTTCAACAAAAATTCCATAACTCCGATTAACTTGAAATTTTGCAGGTGTTCATAATTTCGGTGACAATACATTATGGAATTTCTGTTGAAATTTTAAAAAATGGCTGCTCCAAGATGGCAGAAAAGATTTGGTCCAATTTCATTCAAAATTGGTGAGTGGGGGTTTTTAAGGTCGGAGATCATGATTTTTTGTTAAAATTAATAAATTCAAGATGGCGGCTTCCGAATATTTTTTTGTTTTTGTATAAATGACGATAACTCCGTTGTTATCAACACAAAACTATTACTGCGACATATCATCTGAAAAAGAAAAAAAAGTTATTTGTAACTAAGTTATAGTGAGCTATGACCTACATTTGAAAAACTAAAGTTGGTGTTGATATCTCTAATTCTAGAAGAGTTGGTAGAAATTTCATATTTTTTCGAAATCACTTTGAAAAACTGTCAATAGAATGTGAAATTCCTATTTGAATATTTTCATAAATAAAGAAGTCACGGAGGAGACATGAAAATGATCAAAATCAGTTTTTTGCGTATAAAACAAAAACGAATAGATTTTATCAAAATATTTTTTCACATTATAGTTGGCCTTGACACACTCCACATTTGGTGTCATTTAACCGACCTCGTATATCTCTCACCGTTAAAAAGATACCCATGGTGAGCATGGTAAGTGGGACACACTGTATAAGTCCCAGAAGACGGATTCTGATAGTTGATATCTAAGGTACTGACGTGCATGTCTGATTGTTGGATGTTTTGTGTGCAAAGAGCACTAAAGAGCGAGAAACAGTGACAAAGTGAAATAGAATGAGTAAAACTAAAAGAAGAAAACAAGACAGGTGGATGAACCTCCATATTGAGCAGTGATATGATTATTGTATTTGTCTCCAGATGCTCGAAAAACAGTGCAGGCTGTTCCATTTTCAATGTCCTTACGGGATATCTCACTTATTCTCAAAGATTTGCGGTTTCCGCGAACGTTGGCTATTTTTTCGTGAAACTCGCGATACCGCAAACAAAATTTTCATAACTTGCTTTGTTCTCGGAATACAGGACGAAATTGAAAGTGTTGCATTTTGTGACACCCCCGTATGGGCTGCATCTCAGTTCAACCACAGTTTAAGGAATACCCATTCCTTAAACTGTGGTTCAACTTCACGAAAAAGTAAAAACTGCCTCTTATACATTTTTTCAAGTAAAATCCAGTAGCGTAGACGGATTTTCAAAATAAGTTGTTATTATTCAGATATAACCCAGAGTGATGTTTTTTTATTGGAACACCCTGTATATTTTTCCGTATTCAAAACCTTGATGCTTTGCGCTTTTCAAAAATATACTCATACAATATTTTGAGTATTAGCCATGAATTAAGTAGATTTTCAGTTTTTCAGTAGAATTTTCATCGATGGGCGCCTTCTAAATATGTGGCAACATCGTCCATATCACAAATTTCCATATTTACCTTATTGCTGACAGAATATTCCGTCATACACTAGTTTCAGTTGTACCAACAGTAAAATTTTACCAATATTCAGCACTATTTATGGAGTCTAGAAGCTGTGCACCTTATTAGATGGCAATGAAGCTAGTCTAGAATGGTTTTTAATCTTTGTCACCTACACCTACCTGTCAAATTTACGAATTTTTCATATGATGGCGAATACTAATCCAGGGTATAAATACTACGAAAAATTAGATATGGTTTCTTAATTTTCGTAGTTTTGATATCCTGGATTATTTGCCGTTGAATGAAAAAATCAAAGTAAGGTAGATCATTTTCAAACATTCTATAGACTCACTATGTTTTCATATCCATCTACTAATTAGGTCCACAACTTTCTAGTCAATAAATAGTGCTACATGTTGGTAAAATTAGAACTAGTGTGTGACGAAACACAAAAAACAAGGTCAATATGAAAATTTGTGATATGGACAATGTTGCCACATCCCATCGATGTGAATCTACTGAAAAACTAGAGATTATCTAAATTCATGACTAATACCTTGAGATATCTCATAAGTGTTATTTATTTTTGGAAAGCACAAAACATCAATGTTTCAAATATGGAAGAACATCCAGGCTGTTCCATTTGGAAAACATATCCTCAGGTTACATCTGAATAATAACAGCTTATTCTGGAAATCTGACTACGCCACTGGATTCTACATGAAAAAATGTTGAAGAAACATCTTTCACTTTTCCGATAAGAAAGATAGCTGCGATACAGGAAGTTCCCAAAATGCAACATTTTCACTTTTGCTCTGCACCTCAAGAAAAAAACGGTCAATGAAAATTTTGTTAGCGGAATCGTAAGCTGCAGTTAAAAGTGATCAAAGCAATTCTCTATCTCTGGAAAAGTGAGATATCCCGTGAGGATATCGAAAATAGGACAGCCTGTACAAGGTGTCAATGTTCAGCTTCTTGACGTCGATGGCCAGGGGCGAAATGTCGGAGTTTTGGACGCTGGAAGGTTGATATTTCATGATTATTGTCTCCATTTTCAGAAACGCAGGAATAATGAAAACTGCCGTAATTTGGGTATTCTTTCGTCAAAGTCCGGAACTCCAACGGCGACCCCTATCTTTCCCAGTAGGATAACCCTCTGCTAACAAAAAAACATCCCTCATTCTTACCGTGCATGCGTATCATCCTCGTCCTTCTGCTGCAACACGATCTGCTGCACGATCCTATCGAAAAGCAACCAGTGCTGCGGATGCGCTCCATAGTCCAACGGCAGCAACAAACAGTGCTCCAACAAGGACAGCAAATGCGGATAGGCAGCCGTATGCGACAGCTTCCTGCGAATCAACTCGAACATGGCCGAGGCGCTCTTCGTGTCCACGTGCTCCTGCCCGAACTTCCGCGCCAGCTCTTTCTCGTCCTCGTTGCGCACCATCTCGAAAAAGTCGAGATGCCTGTCGAGCGTCTCGTTCTCGTGGCCGCGCAGCTTGTCGATGATTGGCTGCACGCCGAGCATGAGGAACTCGTAGCGCAGGTGCAGCCGGAACTCGAGGTTCTCCTGGCCTTGGCCGTAGTTGAGGACGGCGTTGACGAAGGACATGATGGCGGTTTTCAGGTTCACCTCGTCCCGGTAGATTCCTGTGGAAAAGATTCAGGAGTGACTCGGGGAGCCGTTTTGGGGCCTCTGAGGTGAAGGGATTTATGCGTCGAGGTCGAAAGACTAGTTTGGATGATATTATGAGGAAAAATATTGCATCTGACTGGTGACTACCTCGAGGATCCGTTTAAGGGCCTTGATTGGTTGAAAACTGGGGTTTATTCAAATGCTTGAGAACTACCACATAACTCGAGGTTCTCTTGACAAATGGTCGAGGGTTCAGTAGGAAATAATGCAGATTCACCTCGTTCCGTTGAATTCCTAGAGAAAAGATTCAGGAGTGACTCGGGGAGCCGTTTTGGGGCCTCTGAGGTGAAGGGATTTATGCGTCGAGGTCGAAAGACTAGTTTGGATGATATTATGAGGAAAAATATTGCATCTGACTGGTGACTACCTCGAGGATCCGTTTAAGGGCCTTGATTGGTTGAAAACTGGGGTTTATTCAAATGCTTGAGAACTACCACATAACTCGAGGTTCTCTTGACAAATGGTCGAGGGTTCAGTAGGAAATAATGCAGATTCACCTCGTTCCGTTGAATTCCTAGAGAAAAGATTCAGGAGTGACTCGGGGAGCCGTTTTGGGGCCTCTGAGGTGAAGGGATTTATGCGTCGAGGTCGAAAGACTAGTTTGGATGATAATATGAATAAAAAATATTGCATTTGATTCTTGATTCGGCCGTAATCAAGGACGGCATTAACGAAGGTCATAATGGCCAATTTCAGGTTCACCTCGTCCCGATAAATTCCTGGAGGAAATATTCGGAAGTGACTCGAGTATCAGTTGTAGGGCCTCTGAGGTGAATGGATTTATGCGTAGAGGTCGAAAGACTAGTTTGGATGATAATATGAAGAAAAAATATTGCATTTGATTCTTGATTCGGCCGTAATCAAGGACACGGCATTAACGAAGGTCATAATTGCCAATTTCAGGTTCACCTCGTCCCGATAAATTCCTGGAGGAAATATTCGGGAGTGACTCGAGTATCAGTTGTGGGGCCTCTGAGGTGGAGGGATTTATGCGTCGAAGTCGAAAGACTAGTTTGGATGATAATATGAAGAAAAAACATTGCATTTGATTGGTCCAAGTTTGGGGATAATTCATGTTTCAAGAATCGTTTAGATGAACTTAGAAAACTACCTCTGATGACTCATTTGGCTGATAATATGTCGACGAAATTCAATTCCTCAAAGTTATGGTTAATTCATGTATTTCAAGAATCGTTTGGTAAAGCTCATAAAACTACCTCGAAAGAGCAGGTGAAACTCAAGGTTCTCCTTGGCCATAATTCAGAAGTCCTTGCAATATAATTCGGAAGTGACTCGGGGATCCGTTTTGGGGCCTCTCAGGGAGAGTATTTATGCATCAAGGTGGGATGAACGGTTTGGACAGTGAAATGGAGAAAAACACCTTGTTCAATTGGTAGATATTCGTTTATTCGTGTACTAGGAATCGTTCACTACACCTTAGTAAAATCGAAATTTGATTTTCGGAATAGTCAAACAACAAAGGAAATGGCAAAAAACAATAAAAATATAAAAGCACCGGAGATTATAAATTATGAAATATTCAGAAATTGAGTAATATAGGTGTCATAGGTATCAAACAAAATTGTATGTTGCCAGTTGGTATATACACATATATACCAAAGGATTACGCAATTACTAAGAAGTCACAGCGAGATGAGAATCAAAAAGTATCTTTTACTTACCTGTTGATCTATCCAAATCGTTGATGATCCCCTGAAACCTCGTCCTCTCGAAAGCGTATTTTTGGTAATGCAGCATAGCATCTAGAACTTTTTTATGTCCTCCAGACACCAGGCACACCGCTCCCAGTATTTCGAGCACGGCGATTTTAGTTTTGATATTCTCCGTCCCCAAAGATTGAGCTATCGTATTTATACTAGTCGGGTGAGCCAAAACGTGCGCCCTGCCGGTCTAAAATTCGAAAAAAAAAAAACGAAGGTCAACCTAAACGAGTGGTATTCGATGCGACTATTTACCGAATTGTTCATGAGCGCCTTGACGCAACCGATGATGCTGGTGTGGATGGAGCTTTGAGCGGTGAAGTAGTCCATCCTTTCCAGGCAATCGAGCAGACTCAGCAAACCATCTAATTCGATGAATTTTATCACAAAACTGTGCGTCGACGTCCTGAGCGCCGTTTTCAAGCCGTCTATCTGTTTGGTCCTCGATCGCACTTCTTCTTCGGTATTCGTTTCTGGGTATTGTAACTGAAAGAGAAAATCAGAAAAGTATTGTAGAACTGTCATAAGGAATGACACTAGTGTTGCAACAGCCCGGAAAATAGTTTTTTAAGGATGAGTAGGTAGACGAGATTCCATGACAAGCCGTGGGTGAGGCGAGTCTAAAAAATGTCAACTATTTCAATGTCAAATGGATCATAACGTTCTGTTGCATACTTAGATTTTGAGAGTATTATCGATTCGATCACGTATTTTTCGTAATTCCATACTTTTTTTTTGATTTAACGGTATTCAGATGAAAATGAAGAGTTAATGTTAACAGCCTCTGTCCGTTAAGATTGTTTAACTGTTTAGAGATTGTAGAGCTTTTCAGGAAGAATCTGAGAATTCAATGGAATGCAGGGTGTTCTATTCAGAATAAGGAAGTGAATAATAATTCCGGAATAACTGAAAAAGTGGCGATAACATTTTCTAATCTACCACGTTGTGAAATCACCATGTACATAAATTTAAAAAAAAAACAAAATACAACAATTTTGATCGATAAATGCGAATCTCCCATCTATCCCAACACACTTTTTTTTCCATCTATTGAGGACAACTAAAACTAACCATTTTTAAAACATTGGTAAACTTTTTTTTTAATTTGAACTTACTGTGGCTAATGTTTGCAGTCTTTCAATATAGTGTTCGGGGGCATGTGTTTGGTCCACTGTGTCTTCTCCTTTTCTTGAGCAATATATCTGCCATTTTTTCTGCGGAGGTAGGCTCATCATGGCGGCTTTGTTAGGAGCTGTCAAGTCAAGTTCCTCCTAAAAAAAAAACATTTCATTCTAAAATGAGCTTCAAGTATAGTATAGTATAATGAAAATAAAAATATTAGTATTATTTCAATATTACAGGATAGATTAGATTTGTATGTTGAAAACAGAAGTTCAAAGATAATTGAAATCTCATAACTTTTCAATACACCTATATATATTCTTGTATTCTTCAAACACCTTTTGACTTCTATACTTCCGGTGTTTCTGAACTCGCCGAGAGCAAACGCTTGGGTTCGACAGTCAAACTCTGTTCAAGGATTCATAAAATTCCCAGGCAAACTTTGATGCTCAATATCTTCAGCATATTATTTTTCCACCAAAAAGTCATTTCGTTTTGTTCTTTCGTTTTCTATTGCCCATTATATTTATAGCTCCTATTCCAGGAACACCCTGTATTTTACTATGTAATTCAATTCAACTATATTTTTTCAATCCAAAAGTTGGTGAGTATGTAGGTATTATACCTACTCATAGGTATCTGTATGTGTATAAATTATATAAACTCTTTTATTTTTCTAATTGCATAATAATTGTTGCATAGGATGTTAACTCTATCTGTATTAGTTCGTATTCACCTAATTGGGAAATGAACGGCTAGAAAGCAGCCAATCTATTATTTAACATGTGTAATGACGGTATTTTACGATATTTTCAAATGCTTTACGCGCATCGCATGAACTTATTCTTATTCGATAAATTGGCAGTTGCCTACAGGTATGAAATGGCATAGGTACTCGTACAGGAAATGGATAGAAATAATAAACACTAATTGGAAGTCTATTGTATTGAGTAATGATTAAGGTTATTGTTAAGCTGCAACGTTTACCAGACAAGCACAACCAAAACATTTAGCTACAATTTTCTCACTCATCCCCAGATTATTGAAATGAAAATATAAAAAACGAATACTGCATCTTTGTCCTGATATCCCAATGAACACTCTCGTAGTATAGTTAAATCATGGTACACCCTCTTTTTCTCCTTTACTTTTATAGATGAGTGATTGAAATTTGGAATGACCTATCAACTTCATGTTTAGACATAAATATGTTTTTTCAACAGGAGAAAAACGAACTCAGAGTCGGTCGACCACAATATTTAATATCAAAATTATAAAATAACGATTTACTGATGAAAATGTTTCTGTTGTTAAGATGTTTCTCCACAAAACAGGTATGTCATATCTTTCTCAGCCACCATTTTGTTCAACAACTGTATTACACTTTCTAGGTACTTTTTAATTGTGTCTGAAGATGGCCGTAGAGCCGAAACTATAGTAACACACTGCTTATATATAATTTCGATATTAAATATTGTGGTCGACCGACTTTTGAGTTCGTTTTTCTCCTGTTGAAAAAATACCGGACCACTTTGAGAATGGATGGTTTCCATGACATAATAGTATATTATTCAACGAGCGCATAATGATGGCTATTACCCACGAAGATGAAAGTTGCAGTACGAGCCGAAGGCGAGTGCTGTAATCATCTGAGTGGGTAATAGTCATTATGCGCTAGTAGAATACAATACTTTATCTACAACTATTCAAATATCAAAGCAACTCTGAGAGTTCAGAAATATATCTTTGAAAAAAATGAAGGTTATTATATTGCAAAATCACTAAATCTGATTTTAAATTTTCGATGAAATTAATTCATCGAAAATTTTTTGACAAAAATTCCATTCAACGAACAGCTTATAACTTATTTCAATAATTTTGATTCTGAAAATATGAAAAAGAATATTGGATATAACTTTTATTGACAGGAAAAAAGTCTTGCAATCACATAGCAGTCAATATTACCAGGTATTATATGATATTTCACTTTTCAGTTGTAAAATGAATCATACTATTGCAGATTATTCATTTTTTTGCTTTGGCTGTAGCGTTCCCCCACCGTGATGATTGATTGTAGTACCCTGTCTCTAGAAGCTAGTTATCAACAATGAAATTCCATGGTTCTGATTGGTCTTTACTAATCTATTCCAATAGCCTGTAGCCATATTAGTGTTAGTGTGAGCCTTGGATCATACAGGATCTAAGGTGTGAGCAAATCTGCAAGTGTCAAGTGTCAAGTCCTATTTCATGGTTATGGTTACTCATGATGATAGTCACTGTTGAGGATGGAAAACATTGAATTCTTATTTTTCCGTGTATTTGTAGAATTAAGGTGATTAAAACTATGAGAACAATGGTACGGTGGATTTGCAAACTAATAGAACGAATACCTACCTAGTTGAATTTGACAAGACGATGGGATGTCAAATTATTACGCCACCCTACTGTCATTATTACTCTTATTACTTGATTCATCACAATAATGACTACCATTAAATGTCGAAAATCGAGTAAGCAATGTATGAATGACTCCATAGTTGTAGATAAATATGTTTTATTTTCCACTTCCAGTTTCATCGGAAGTGGTAATAACTTATGATTTTCATATGGAACATCCTGTATATTATTGAATTTTCGAATTCTGCATCATTTTTTGAATCCATTGATAACACATATAAGTAACATTTCGAACTCCAATAATGATTTTAATTTAATTTTGTATCTTCCATCTGAGTGTGCCATGTGTTCATCAAAATGGTTTGGTGTATAGTATGGTATTGTTAGACCTCTAACCAGAAGTTGAAAAAATTGGGGAAGGTATCCCAAACAAATCTTTTATTATGGAGGTTATTCAGACATATACGCCTCAAAATATCCTCGACTTTCAAACCATTTTTTTTTCATTTCGTCGTAGGACTTCCTGTATAAAATAATCATCATGTATCTTCGAATTTTTTTTCAACCCATCAGTGTATACCTAACGATACCTACAGGTCATATCAGTATACTGTATGCTACCTCTAGTGATATAGGACAGGTAAAAATAACATATCGAGATCACCTTATATTTTACCTCAGATGCCCATCCATCGATCGTTATTCATTATCAAGATTAAACATAAGTTTTATTTGAATGTCTCGACGTATCAGTCTCCAATGACTCTCTTCCTTTCCATTGGTATTTACAGGGCGATCTAGAGCTTACTACCATCATGAAGCTCAATATTTCATTTGCAAATACAAAACTAAAATGACACTAATGAGTACGATATTGGATCCGCTGTAGGTAGCCTAGCCGGATACTCATCAATTTTCAACTTGTCTTGGATGGTATCCTCTTGACTATCTAGTTGTCACTTACATCTTATCTATCGACCTCTCTTAGCCATAGATGAAGAAACCCACAGAATTTATTTGAAGGATCAGAGTTCCATCATGCAGTACATGTTTCGAGTTTATATAAGCCCATCACCAGCCGATTACAAGATATTAGGTAGTTGGCGGGTTTTGATATTTCGATGTTTAATTGTCAGCTTTGGCAATTATAGGGCACGTGGTCCTCTATAAAATTAACAACCCGACCCTTTTCTAGTCGCAGCCAATTTGAAATTTTCCAATGATATTCAGTTCAAATGCCAATCGAAAAACAAAGCCACCTTGTAATACATGGTTGAAGGTTGAATTTCAAGATCAATATTGGGCTGAAGAAGAAGTCTTGATCATTTTCTTTTTTGAAATGAATGCTGACATCAGGTGACAGGTCACTTCACCTTTATTGCAAACTATTTTCGAGACACCGTGTATAATGTAGATGATGATTGCAACTTGCACCCGGTTGCCATCACTTTTTTCTTCAATTTAATTCACATCTGAAACATTTCGATCAGATGATACAAGAATCGGATCACCCTGTTTGAGAAGCATCTTTCATGACATTGCGATACCGTTAAGTACGCGAATAATTCCCGTGTAAGTACTTTCATTTTTCGAAAATTAATTATTATGCGATATTATCGAACCGTTAGCTTATGCCTCTCACGTGTTCTAAGCAAAATGAAACGGAAATGTTGAAAAAAATATTGCGATATTAATACGACTGGGTAAATTCCGAAACAGCAGTAAATGTATTCAACATGGTGGTTTTTCTCGTAAGTCTCGTATTCCGATTGCAACTGTAAATTAGGCAGAAAAAACTTTGTAATTTTGGAGGAGTTTTGAGAAACGTTTTCTCTGCCTAGTTGCAACTGTAAATTAGACAGAAGATACTTTTTTCAATATCTCCTGATTTTCAGTTGCAATTGTAAATTAGAATGTCTTTCGAAAAAAAAGTTTTCTCTGCCTAATTTAAAGTTGCAACTGTAAATTAGGAGATGTTTTGAAAAAAGATTTCTCTGTATAATTTACAATTGCAACTGTAAAGAAAAACAATTACGACAAGTTTTTTTTACCAAAATTTGTATTAGTCAATCTGACGTTTTGATGCATCTTTCTTTCAAGAACAATATGTGTCAGTATACCGAGGAACCTGATGAAAAAATAAGGATGGTAGATTTTAACTTTGGCAAAATCGCCACCATGTTATCAGTTTGGAAACTCATCAAACGAAATATCCTGTTTATCGTTTTGCATAATTAATATTTACTATGCTATATTTATGGTCACAATGAATTAACGAATCGCATCACGTAGTTGAATGAGTGACACAAAAAAAAACATAATCGAATCATAACATGGACAAAAACGGGTCTAGAAAGTTTTTCTGTATGAGCTGAAGTCATGCTTATAATAATATCGTAAATGAGTGAATAATCTATAAATGGGCCCTCATTAATTACACAATGAGACATTATTTAACGTTTCCCGAGAATTAAGAAGAGAAATCAACATTGGACAATTATTTTAACATTATCGATCCCAATTGAACCGTAGATATAAAGATGGATTCGAAGCACAAACATATTGAAAAAAAAATTACAAATTCCACCCTTCGGAAGATGGATAAAAAGAATGATACATGAATATTGATTCAAAAAGGGATAGAAAATATTAGTCAAGGTGTAGTTTTATTTGGTAGCTGTCAATATTTTCACATGAGATGTTTTTACCTCATCCCTTAGCACAATCATGTCAATGTGACATTCATCTCAATTTGTTGTGACATCTTAGTTGTGACTTATAACGAAACTGATATTCATTATTCTCCCTACGAAGTTTTATACATTCCTCATCGAAAATATAAAAAAGTACCTTTGTTGTGAGATGTACGTGCCTACTATCAAGAGAAAAAAATATATCTACGATATTGCTGTAAAATGTAATTTGTTCCCGCGAAATTTAATTAGAGATATCCAGTTCTGGCACCGGATCTAACGATAATATTCAATTAACAAGTTTTTCCTGTCAATCAATAATCGATTCGTGAGAAAATGATGTTTCTTCCGTGGTTTATTCCTCTGCCTACACTAAGTCTGACTTTACCGAAATATCATAAAATGGCACAAGGTTGAAGAATCCGAAAGTACTAAAATGTAAACTATTCAAATATGACATTCCCATAATTACTTTGTATTCAAAATATTTGGAAGAACATGAATTTTAGGATACGACGTTTTCCCTTCCCTTTTTGTGAATCAGGCCATGTTTTTGAAGCATTTTTCATTCAACTTTCACTGTGATAGTTCGAAACTATGGCTCATGAAAAGTTGCTGCGAGTCCTTTGGTTGCACAATTTGTTCCCTATTTAATCAAACTCGTACTATCATTCTTCATTATCATATGGACGCACCATCGTGGAATAACCGAGAAAATATATCACCAGCTTGATCACCAGTACAGTAAATATAATATCATCTCAGCATTGATCGCAAAAACGAGAAATCATTGTTTGAAATTATTCATTATTTTTATGTGGCCAAAAATGATTAAAGAATAGACAGAGGAAAACTCACCACAAGTTCTGCAAATTTTTGGTCCAACTCTTCTTGCGAAGGCATCGGTTGTGTGGGCGTGATAGCTTGTAGAGTAAGGGTCCCTGTGTTTTCCACCACACAGTATGTGATTTCAGGTGGTTCGTCATCCTGGAAGGAAAATTCGAATGGAAACATGCGTGACGATTACTCATCGAATGAAACACAAAATGTAGAAGAGCGTCGTTTATTGTCCGTTTATATTTTTTTACTGGAAACATCCAAAATTTCAGGTAGTTCAGAAATTATGGGTGTTGGGTATAATAGGGAATTTGATCAGAACAGAGCCTCACTCATATAAAAGAATTGAATTATGACAGGAAAAAATAAGGTTGTCCATTTGAAAAAAAATAGATTTTCAATGTTTCTCTTTCACGTTTTGAACCCATATTTTTGCGCACGCTGTAATCATTCAGTATTTGGGACTATGAAGATTTAATCACTGCATATCAATAAAAATTGCAATTCACATAAAAATGGCGTCTGTTGGATAGACTGCATTTGGCATATTTTGTAGAAAAACTCGAATAACTCGATCAACGGTTTATTTTGGGTAAAGGGTATAATACATGAATTTGAATCAGAATCATGAGAGGAACTCAAAAATGTTCTGAACCAGTATACTATTCAAAATGATATAAATGACGTCACTTCCAGAAAAAGCGGAAGCTTCATGACAACGAAAATATTTCAGATGGATTCTCCATGATTCCTTCACCGTCTCTATGAAGTTAGTTCTCCATATACAGGGGAATCATCGTGAATGGGCAATCTCTGAACTACAGATAGTAAACACCAAAATATGACTATTTAGCCCACCATGCGTTGTGGAAATGTTAAAGGAAAAATTTTATTTCAAATTTCTCCATACCTTTGGTCAAACATTGACTTTGAAATTATGTTCGTCTTCGGCGTTGTTTGTGATGTGTCATTATTGTTTACTGCTTTTTTTCCACTGTCACCTCGCTAACTTTATATCTTGAAATACTAATAATAATGAAAGTGAAACACAAATCTCTTCAAGAGCGAAAAACGCATAAACCGTTAGAGCTAAAATTGGACGGGTATATCGACTCATTTTCGTCATCATTTATTGGATAAAGAAGATATGGATGTAATTCACCGAATTAAGATATTGTCATACCAGCGCCCTCTAAGTTACAAATTACCTAGTATTTCATATGTCACAAAACCTGATACTACAACATTTCATGTTCATCCTGTCAAAACTCAAAAAGTTATTGATACATTTCAAAATAAAATCTTTCCTTCGAACACCTTGTATCTGCTAAATCAGCAACATTCTTATCAGTCAGGCTAAATCTCCATATTTTGGTGTTTACTATCTGTATAGTTCAGCGATTGCCCATTCTTGATGAATCACACCATATAGATCGAGTGAACTCATGAATAAGATATATACCCTGCATACGAACTTTCTATACTATCAACATGAACTCTAAAACTATAGGAATTCAAATTCCACCTGAAGCCACCTGTATATTATCCGAATGTCGTTCACATTCAATCTCACTCCTCCAATTTCACAAACACCAAAATAATATTATTACGAAACATTTTCTATTTGGACAGCACCGATACCATCGATTACCTAACACTACTTCCGCGAGGACCCTGTATCTGTATGGAAATATATGCGATTGTATAGAAAGGAAAATTTTCGTATTCCGACCACTCCTCTTCGACAAGAAAATATTTCGAGAACGAAAGTAGATGGGAGAGTGAACCAGGGCCTACTCTAGTGAACACGAAAAGGGTTGGAAGCAATTAGAAGAATGTCCATTAGAAACAAATGAATGCGTGATGATGGAAGACCGTGACCAAGTACCGGATATTGTATATCATCAGTGGTCGCCACCATTCAACAACGTACTGAGCTACTTTTATAATATTGGAATAAAAAGTGATATAATCTACAATCTGTCTACAATCTGTCTAACACACACAGCAACCCGAAAATCTCATCCAAATGGCTTGCCTGAAATGCTTCGACTCAAAGTGCCCAATGTTCGCGTCAGTCATGTGTTTCATCTTTGTGTCAGTCATATACCGGGTGTAACAGGATCATGGTACAACCCCCGTATCTCCGTTAGTTTCAGAGGTAATTGATTGAAATTTGGGATATTCCATATACATAATAAGAGGCACTTTTTGACCTACAAATGATTTTCTTTTCAATTCCGGTTTCGCCGGAAGTGATACCAACTTTCGATTTTCAAATGGAACACCCAGTATATTATTACATTTCTGAAATCTGCATAATTTTCTGAATCCAATGATACCACATTAGTGACATTTCAAAAGTAAAAATGTTTAATATTTTAATTTTTAGTTCTCCATTAAAGTGTGCAATGATGGTTCCGATTTATTCCAATTGACCCGTCTAATGCTAGAAAAATTGAAATCCTCTCAAAAATACTGAATTGCGTTTTTTATGAGCAAATAAAGTTCATCGTGATCGATTTTGGAGTAAAACTCAATTTTTTCAAATGGAACCATATTGGTAGCGTGGTACCATTTATTGGTACTATTAATAAGCAATTTATCCATACCTGCTAATAAAATGTGCGATAAATACAATCAAAATCACAGCTGAAAGAAAATAAGAAGATACAATTATTTTGGTCTAATTTAATGCTAAGAAAAAATTGGGGTGGCTTTGAATTACAAAAAAATTCTATCAGGATATCGGTCGGCATTAAGGTTTCTAGCCGCAACGGCATTTTTTCTACATTCCCAATAAATAATCAACATGTTCACTTTTTCCTCCCCTGCATGAATGTGCGGTATTTTGAACGTGAATAACAACAAATGTAAAGACTTTTCCAATACACAATGACATCACCTATAAACCACCGATAAACCAACATTTATTTGACAATCTGAAGGAATAATTTCATTGTTTTCAAAGCCACCTTAGTAATTTCTTAGCATTAAATTAGAACAAAATAATTGTATTTTCTTATTTTCTTTTAGCTGTGATTTTGATTGTATTTATCGCACATTTCATTAGCAGGTATGGATAAATTGCTTATTCATAGTACTAATAAATGGTACCACGGTACCAATATGGTTCCATTTGAAAAAATTGAGTTTTACCCGAAAATCGATTACGATGAACTTTATTTGCTCATAAAAAACGCAATTTTGTATTTTCGAGAGGATTTCGATTTTTCTAGCATTAGACGGGTCAATTGGAATAAATCGGAACCATCATGGCACACTTAAATGGAAAACGAAAAATAAAAATATTAAAAATTTTTACGTTTGAAATGTCACTTATGTGGTATCACTGGATTCAGAAAATTATGCAGATTTCAGAAATGTAATAATATACTGGGTGTTCCATTTAAAAATCGAAAGTTGGTATCACTTCCGGCGAAACCGGAAGTGGTAAAAAAATCATTTGTAGTTCAAGAAGTGCCTCTCATTATGTATATGGGATATCCCAAATTCCAATCAATTACCTCTGAAACTAACGGAGATACGGGGGGTGTACCATGATCCTGTTACACCCGGTATATAAACGTCAATTCAAGACCTAATTTTGGTATTATAATGGACGACTTTCGTCACAGATTCGGTTGCAGAAATAGTTATTTATGATGTAAGTGCTAAAAGTGACATTTTATTTTGTGAGAAGGGAAGTTTGGGACACGACGCCGAAGGCGAGTGTTCCATCTCTTCGAACAAATGAAAAAACACTTTTACCACATTTATCATACACTATTTTTTCTACAAACGCCATTAAAAGTCCAAATTAACGCATAACTATTTTACATTACTTATTAATTGATTAAATAACAGCGTCGAGATTATCAGTTTTGAATCCAATTCAATCTAATCTATTCATGAAACAAGTTACCAAGGTAAACAAAAACTGAATTTGTTGATTTATCTTTCTTGACAACTAACGTCAATAAATCACGAATTATTCTTACTCGTTTCTTCATGGAAAGTGCCCAAGAAAATGAATTTCTTCCGCCGCAAATTGAAGAAGCTGCCAATAAAGCTGTTTTTGAATTATTGCCTAGTGAGTCAAAGCGACAGTACGAGTTTTCATACGAACGTTTCTTGAAATGGTGTGATCAGAAAAATGTCAGTGGAAAGGAGGCCAGTGAAAAAGTGCTTCTTGCATACTTTGAAGAAAATTCCAAAATATGGAAATCGTCAACGCTTTGGTCGAATTACTCTATGTTAAAGTCGATGATGAACATAAATGATCATGACATAAGCAGATATCACAAGCTTGTGGCTTTTTTGAAGCGAAAGGGTTAAGGATATCGACCGAAAAAGTCAAAAGTATTGATAAGAGAACAAATCGACAAATTTCTCGCAGAAGCCCCAGATGAAATATATCTAATGCAGAAAGTTGCTGCGATTTTTGGTGTTTTTGGAGCCGGTCGTCGAGAAGAACTGATAATAATATCGAGGATTCCGGAACTTCACTAGTTGTGCATATACCAGACACAAAAACTAATGTGCAACGCACCTTTGTTGTAAGTGGTACATTGTATATGAACTACTACAAAAAGTACATAGCCCTTCGTCCAGTGGATATTAATCATTCTAGAGTTTTTATAAAATGCATTAAAAATAAATGTGACAGGACTCCAGTTGGAATCAACACATTTGGTAAGATGCCTGCCAAAATTGCCGAATTTCTTAATTTGCCTGATTTCCATCTATATACTGGACATTGTTTCTTACGTTCCTCAGCTAGTTTGTTGGCGGACTCTGGTGCTAGTCTTATTACAATTAAAAGACATGGTGGATGGAAGTCCAGTACCTACAGTAGCAGAGGATTATACTCGCTACAAAGGAAACAGAACATTGCAGATCAAATTTTGTCGAAAACTTCGGCAGATAATATTGCTCTCTGCCCTGGTACAAGCTTCACGAAAATAAATTCTGTCACATCTACCAATGAGACTGGCCATGGAGTTTCGTATTATAATTGTAGTTTCGCTAATTGTACTTTTAATTGAATAAACACTTCATTTTGAATTATGTTTACATATTCTCTCATAAAAATAAATCACTTTTAGCACTAGTGCTAAAAGTGATTTACTTTCAACACCAGTGTCATA